AAACATGCTCGCCATTTCAACCGTGGGGCGTTATAATGTAACGGTCAATCCCACTATTCGTTGGTAAAAGAGTAGCCCAAGAGTTGGCGGTGGGTGGTGATGACTAGCTGCCCTCCCTCTAGTCTTACACTGCTAAATTATTGACGGCTAGCGCAGATAGCCCTCGTGTAGCTTTGCGCGAAATCCATAACAAACAAACAAACAATTTGTAATACGAAAAATTAGTTATTTTACCATACAAATATAAAGTAAGCTAAATATAACATTCGTTGACTGAAACTCGCGATTTAGTATTTTACATACAACTAACCTGTTGTTTGAACAAATTCAATCAGTATGTCCTTTGCGATGCGTATTTTCAGAAACAGTTCATTATCTCTTATGGATCGCTGGCTTGGTGTTTTGTATTTATAACAAAGCTAGTAAGGCTATCTACTACCACCATTCTTAATTTTAAGGTACCTACCGGACGGAAGCCAATCTCATGCGAGTTACTGACAATCACTCTTATAACGTATTCAAAGCTTAACGTGCAGGATATATTTTCTGGTATCGCACAGATTCGAATCAGGGTCTGTAAATTGGAAGGTTTTCGTAGTTTTTGTCTCTATCCAACAAAAGAGACAGTTGTCGAAACGGTCCCTCATCTGTAATTAATCTTGTTAAGTATGGAATTACAGTGTAGTTTTTTTTTTATTATTCTAAATTTATGCGTCTAATGCTATTGCTGTATTTCGTAAAAATCGTTACCTGGAGCTAGCTGTTAGCACAGAACGTTCGGAAATTAAAATCTTAAGCATGCAATCTATATCAAAAAGTTTAGTTCACGTGACCGTATTGACTAACTGCAGTTAAAATACTCCCGGTGGATTGAAACAAGTAGATATGCATGTTAACTGGTCGATATAGGTGTTGTGATGGGTACACAGGTTCATGAGCGGACTAACGATTGTGATCCAGCCATTTTGTCGGCACATGCGTTGAAGAATAAGCAATTAATCAGCTAAGTTAAGAAGTCACGAATCTGCCTTTTTCTACTGCGTGCAAACCTCGGTGAATAATATTAACACCGCAAGTTATTTAATGTTCCGAAGCACGAACAGTTGGTATCGTCTATCTCAGTGTTGGAGAAAATTGATTTCTCTGTAAGAAGTTTCTGTGTATTCACCAGGGTGGAGTGTGAAGAGCGATGAATTGTTCGTGCGTCGTTAGGTGTCACTGTTATTACTAAAACACTTAAGATGTACGCTTTTGTTGTTACTTCCGTGTTTAAGGAACCTACAGTTAATAACAAAAAATAATAATCAATCCTATATAATACCATTCAACGTATACCTCGAAATGAAGTGTAATCGACGGTTCTTGTTGTCATATATATGATGAACTAATAGGAAATACTGGTAATATATCTTAGAAAACTTTTAAAATTCGATTATTGACGACAAAACCGAAAAAAATCCACTATAGTATTTGTTTTGGAATTGGCAACGAGAAATTGCAGCGTTGCAAAATCTGGCAAACTGTGTGTTGGTGAAATTTCATGCGTAAAAAGATAGGCTGAGTATGTATGAAGTTGTTTCCAACCGTTTGGTGTGTCCTATCGAATACTCAAACTCTGAAATTCAACGCTTTCTGTTTCCTGACGTTATAAATTTAAGATATCTAGATACGCGAATAAGGATCCCAACATCAAATAAAATAAGCCTTTTGAAGTGAACTAGTCTTGAAAATTTTGTAAATGTACGTTTTAACTTTTCAGCACTACATTGAAAATTAATGCTTCAGAATATTTTTTTTTTTCGGATAAAATTTTATGCGTAGATATAATATGTTACTAAACACACTTATCTGCATACGTACTGGGTTACTTCCTCAACATACATGTTCATGTCTAATTTTACAAATCATAAGCTGTAGACCCGAGAGCCCCTCTGGGTTAATGATGTACTGCAAAGACCATGGATTGAAAAATATGGTTTGTCAGAAAATACACAAGGTTGCAAAGAGCTTAATATTCTGAATATTTACTGTATCGAAACAAAATCATGTATAGAGTTGAAACACACATGACATGTAAAAATAAGCTTGCAATGATTAAGTGATATCGAAACAAAATTATACATAGAGTTCAAACAATCACTTAAAAATAAGCTTGCAATGATTAAGTGATATCGAAACAAAATTATATATAGAGTTCAAACAATCACGTAAAAAAAGGCTTGCAATGATTCAGTGATATCGAAACAAAATCATATATAGAGTTGAAACAAACGTAAAAATATGCTTGCAATGATTAAGTGATATCGAAACAAAATCATATATAGAGTTGAAACAAATATGTAAAGATAAGATTCTAATGATTAAGTGATATTGATACAAAATCATATGTACAGTTGAAACAAACATAAAAATATGCTTGCAATGATTAAATAATATCGAAATAAAATCACATATAGAGTTGAAACAAATACGTAAGGATAAGCTTGCAATGATTAAGTGATATCGAAACTAAATCATATATAGAGTTGAAACAAATTCGTAAAAATAAGCTTTCAATGATTAAGTGATTTCGAAATAAAATCACATATAGAGTTGAAACAAACACGTAAAGATAAGATTGTAGTGATTAAGAGATATCGAAATAAAATCTTATATAGCGTTGAAACAAACACGTAAAAATAAGCTTGTAATGGTTAAGCGATATCACTACCTTAAATAACAAAGTAATAGTGTCAAAACCTTTTTGCCTCTGAAAATGTTATGTAGATGAGTCTTAGTTTACAAATAATGATAAAAAAAAAGTTTGTATAACGATTTGGTCTGAAAGAATAAGAATAAGAGCATTTTTTTAGAATGGAGATTTATATATCTAACCAAAATTCAATTTTTCCGTTTTCCCTCGTCAGTATCAAGTATGGGGATACAGCAGCGTTGCTAGCTTACTTTGATCAGATATATAACTGGATTTGTTTCTTGTATTGCCATCAAAAATTAATTATCTAGTCTGTTTTGTTTTACGTCATGAGTTGCGGTAAACTGTTAAGCCTTAAGGACAACAAAATAAACTTTAAGAAGGCCAGACGTTCGAATTTGATCGTTACTCACATCATAAAGAACTCGCACTGTTTATAAGACTATTAAGTGTTAAAAAATGTTGTATCACGTGATAAAAAATGTATTTCAAAATTCTCGTAATAGGAGTCGGAGCGCTATATTAAGGAATCATAATTAAATTGCAGGTAATTAACATTCGTTGGTCGTCATTTCCTATAATTGTGCGGTAACTAATTAGTAAAACAAGTTACTGTGTAGCTGACCAAGTACATCTCTATTTTCTCCTTAGTTATTACTCATCTTTCTCGGACTTGACACGATTTCTTTCTATAGCATTCTGTGGAATTGTACATGCTTAATGTGATACCTTTGAGTGACTCATAACAATTATTAAACGCTCCTTCATTCCCCTCCTTCAACTCCGCAGGATCCTGATTTTATGGATGTATTATTTTGTTGAGGTTGGTTTCATTATTATTTTAATATTTTGACGTACATTAAAAAGAAGTAGGAAGTATTTCTCAAATATTTTGGATAATGTTTACAAATTTTATACATAAATAAATTGTTTATCGATAAGTTTTGGTTTCTTTGTAAGAAATAAGAAGTAGTCTCTTTTTATCTATTTACTCACAAATATGGAAGTATTGTACTAAAAACTCTCTTATGTAGTACATTGAGTTTATGTACTAACAGATACGCATGGTTTACTAAGAAAAACTGTAGTACATTGAATCCATGTACAAACAAATATGCAGGATTTAATAAAAAAACTGTAGTACATTAAATCCATGTACTAACAAATATGCATGATTTAATAAAAAAACTGTAGTACATTGAATCCATGTACAAACAAATATGCAGGATTTAATAAAAAAAACTGTAGTACATTAAATCCATGTACTAACAAATATGCATGATTTAATAAAAAAACTGTAGTACATTGAATCCATGTACAAACAAGTATTCAGGATTTAATAAAAAAAACTGTAGTACATTGAATCCATGTACAAACAAATATGCAGGACTTAATAAAAAACTGTAGTACATTGAATCCCTGTACAACTAAATATGCATGATTTAATAAAAAAAACTGTAGTACGTTGAATCCATGTACCAACAAATATGCAGGATTTTATATAAAAAGCTGTAATACATTGAATCCATGTACAAACAAATATACATGATTTTATATAAAACTGTAGTACATTAAATCCATCTACCAACAAGTACTCATGATTTACTAAAAAAACTGTAATACATTCAATCCAACTACTAACAAATATGGCAAGGTGACTCAACAGTAAGCTAGAGGGCTTATAACGCTGAAATACTAAGAAATCGCGATATTTATTCTGCCATAATTATTGGTTTATGTTAGTTTCGCGCGTAAAAGTTAATCGAGGGCAATCTGTCCGTAATTTTGAAGTGTTAGACTAGAGTATGGGTTCCCAAACTCTCAGCACAATGCACATACCCAAAACATTATTCGTTTTGACTAAGTCCCCCTCCACCCAAATAATCTATAGGTACCGAGTGCCTTAACAGTATTGTGCACTTGCTACGCTCCTCCCCCGACACATTTCTGTTGCCCCTAATTTGGGAACTAGAGAGAAGACAGCTAGTTAAAACCAACCATTGCCAACTCTTGGGCTTCTTTTCAATAACGAATAGTGGGATTGACCTTCACATTATAATGGCCTCCACAGCTAAACAAAAAAAAAAGCGAGCATTTTCGGCGACGAGTTTTGATCTCACGACTCGCAGATTGACAATCGAGATCCCTGTTATTCAAGCCATACCAAGCACACTGTTGTTTGATTAATTGGTCGAAAGATATGATTCGAACCTATAATTTACCCAAACAGAAATCCATAATATAAAAAACCAAGACTAGGTAGGGTACACTGTTTAGAAAACTAATGACCTTATTTTCTATTTTTCAGATCACGTTCATGAGTTCAGCTGTGGCCACCTCTATTACAGAACTCTGTACCTCGACGCCAGAAGGGATGTGATGTACGTGGGCGCCATGTAAGTGTATCAGAACTTCGTTTTTTTATGTAAATATGCATCATTTCTGACTGGGTTATACAATCTTCTCGGGGGTGTTATACATCGAAATATGTAGTTATTATTACAGTTTTTTAGTTTGTTTTTTTTATTGCCACTCTTAATATATCCCGTTTATTTATGGAAGTACACACTTTTAACTTATGTCAGAGTTATTACGCTAGCCCCTTGGATAAATAACACACAGTATTACATACTTGGATTGATACAAAAGTATCTTAGTATAATAGATATAACTTGAATATCCAGTCATTGTCCTTTGGCCAAAAATAGATGGATCAAAATAAAGTTAGCGACTCCTTTATTAAAAAAAAGAAGCGAACTGAGGAATAAACCTTGTCATCGGTTGGTGATAACTGCACAAGTACTTTAGACTTAATTTGATGATGGATGAATTAACGAATTAGCATTTTTAGAAAATTTATGAAGACTGTGAGCTGAATTAGTATTTCTGTGGAATGGTTAAGATTGGTGGTTAAATCATTGTTTTCCAGGTAAGTATATCTTCCAGGATTAGGAGATATTTTATTTCTTAAACAAGTCTACTTCTGTTTGAGTTAATTAGAGCTGAATATTTTGGAGGTTAAGGTAGATAGATAATCAGTAACTTTAGAGACTGTAGATGTGGTGTGGCTAGTTACCAAAACACCTTATTATATTTTTTTATTACCCTTGTAATGCATACATTTTCTAGAAAAAAAGAATATTTACATTTGGGTTTGAATGGGGTTCTTAACCTTTTAAACGAATTAGCTTATATTTCATGAATTGTAATCACTGAAATTTAAAAGTTAAACTTTGGAGATGGTTTAAATTTGCGTTATTCTTACTGAAAAGAGAAGTGGCATAGGTGTTTTTAGCACTACTCGTAATATATATAGCCGTTTGCAAGCTTCCATTGTTTAAACCTGTTTCATGGTTGAGTCAGAGTCATTAATTTATAACTGATAAGCTCTTTTTCTAGCGACATAAAAGGGTATTAACTGCTATGTTTAAGAAACAGAAGATAAAGAACACGCGGGCAATTGAACAACGCCCTATAGATTGTAATCCGTATCTCATCAGCTAGTGGGAAAACGGGATTATTTATGGACCTACAGAAATGGTGCCACAAGACAGTTTGTTAACGACTACTTTCGGGACTTCACTATTCTAAGAAAGTTCTAAGTTGCATTTAGAGTAATTAATATATACGTATCGTTGTCGTCATGGTATTTTGAATGTAATGACTGTCGTTCTTATAACAAATGACAGTCTATCCGCTTACTCGCGTGATGTTTCTTTGGGAATTTAACCCGATTTTTCAGAGCCTTTTCTTCCTTTTTCTATTTGGACAGAGGAATTGTAAAAATACTTTATCTATTGGGTCTGTCCGGTTGTATTTGGTGTTGGGAGTGCGCAAAGCAATCTTTGCAAACAGAATATAACGAAAGTTAAAAGTGTTCAGAAGAAGAAAAACCAGAAACTACTCAACTGAGTTCTTTCAATGAAATATTATTATTCAGTGAGAGGTGAAATAGGATGGTTATCCTTTCTTTATCAAGAACCAGAAGTAGGATTTCTAAAATACAAAATCCCACTGGCTTGAAGCAATGGTAATATTATAAGACCTATATTTGCAATTCGGTTCCGCATATAAATTTAAAGTGCAGAAATCCTCTTAGCGTGTTTACTGTTAGGAAAACTATTCACCTCAGCATCACACATTTCTATAAACCAGGAGATCCTGCTCGTAAATGTCAAGCTCGTCGCTATGCCAACGCACATTTGTAATGTTGGATGTGTTCTCGACAAAGAAACTGTCACATTATCAGATGCGGGTACATGGCGTCAAATTAGGCTAACACGTACTGACATTTACTTGCTTTCTTCACGTGCCTGGCTGATGAGCTGATGAAAGAGCTGAGCGAAGTGCTCGTTGTTTGGGTGTTGACGATATCAAATACTCGCTGTATAGAGTACAAACCTTTGAATTAGCCAAAATACCTATAACACTGTCATTTCATAATTTGTTGCTGTTTTAGTGTTGAATTCCTTGACAGTTCCGCAGGACAATATGCGTCTGAAGTCTCGACACCAGGAAACAGGCTAGCACCTAACAGTTTTCCCGAGTCGTTCATCATTAAAGCAAATTCCCCTCAGGCTGAAGATCTTGTGGCCCTTTAATGAACTCAACCATAAAGGATTTTTAGTAAAGTTATACATCGAACCTGAATTGACGCTTAGCAAATGGAACACTTACATTTACCACCAGTTTTTCTTTGTGATCTGTAGTCGTAATTAATGTTTATAAATTATTTTAAGTTTATCTGGTGTTCTTTGACGATCCAGTGAACGACTGTTCTGCAATTCTGGGGACTAGAGTAATAATTAGTAAATAGTATTTAATATAAACAAAGATATACGCATCAGTAACTGGATGAATATACAAGTTCCAGTTTTTGTTTGTGACAACCATAGTGAAACTATATCTTAAATTATTTACCTTTCCTCGCAACTCGTGTAAGCAATTACATTTACCGAATTATTTTTCGAGCACAAAATTTAATTTTGACCACACTCGAATTCGTTAATCCGTTAAACTGTTCGTTGAGTTTTAGTAACTAGTAGCTAAGAACGTAATTTGATTTCCTTTCTTCTTTCAGATAAATATCATTAGTTTTCCAAACAATTAAATGCTCACCAGGTAGGGTGTTTAGCGAGAGTTTCTAAACCAATAAATGTTCACCAGGTAGGGTGTTTAGCGAGAGTTTCTAAACAAGTAAATGTTCAACAGGTAGGGTGTTTAGCGAGAGTTTCCAAACAAGTAAATGTTTAGCAGGTAGGGTGTTTAGCGAGAGTTTCCAAACAAGTAAATGTTCACCAGGTAAGGTGTTTAGCGAGAGTTTTCAAACAAGTAAATGTTCACTAGGTAAGGTGTTTAGCGAGAGTTTCCAAACAAATAAATGTTCACCAGGTAGGGTGTTTAGCGAGAGTTTTGAAACCGTTAAATGTTCACAACCAGATATGGTGTTTAGCGAGAGTTTTCAAACAAGTAAATGTTCACCACCAAATAGTGTGTTTAGCGAGAGTTTTCAAACAAGTAAATGTTCACCACCAAATAGTGTGTTTAGCGAGAGTTTTCAAACAAGTAAATGTTCACTAGGTAGAGTGTTTAGCGAGAGTTTTCAAACAAGTAAATGTTCACTAGGTAGAGTGTTTAGCGAGAGTTTCCAAACAAGTAAATGTTTACTAGGTAGGGTGTTTAGCGAGAGTTTCCAAACAAGTAATTGTTCACCAGGTAGGGTGTTTAGCGAGGGTGTCCAAACAAGTAAATGTTTACCAGGTAGGGTGTTTAGCGAGGGTGTCCAAACAAGTAAATGTTCACAGGGTAGGATGTTTAGCGAGAGTTTCCAAACAAGTAAATGTTCACCAGGTAGGGTGTTTTGCGAGAGTTTTATTTGAGAAAAAGGGTAAAGTTACGTTGAATATTATAAAAAGCAACTTTGTGATTCATTTGTGTCTGGAATTTCAAACAACTTCCTCGAGCACAAATGTATCTTTGGACTTCCCCCCGGGGAGGGTTATGAGGATGAAAAGGTTATACGCTATTAATATTCGGGAGTTTAGTTTGTCCTCTGACCCATATTTCTTTTACTATTCCACACTTAAAACCTTTTTTGGTGGGAAGGTCAGCATCAGTTTATCACGTGACGGTATAAATTTAACCTCACGCCTGTTGCCATGACTACAAAGACTAGTAATAGTAATAGAGATAGCAGTCACCATTTAATTTTTGCCAAACTGCTTCATTCCAATATAATCTTTACATATTTTTTATATGCATGTATATATATGTTTTCTTATTTTGTAAATACCCAGTTTATTCGTTGTAATTTGTTTGCACAGTGTTTGTTTTATAACAGCTCACTACATCTAGTTTCTACGCCTTAAATGTAACTCATTTTGTGTTTCCAGTCTTGAGAAGGAGTTTGACAAAATGGAGTCAACAGTATGCAAGAAACAAAACAAAAAGTTTTAATTATAGTAAACCTCTCAGTAGCAGAGACAAAGTTAATAACAGATAATGAAATGAAATTACACGCTTTAAATTTAAAAAAATTCAGATTAATTGAATTTGCTGTTGCAAAAAGAATAATATGAAAGCACAAGAGTGTTAATTCGAGTGCATCGTATCTCGCAGACTACAGTGCGAGTAAACTCATTGGAATACGTTAATCACCCGCACTTTTGAACTTAGTGTATGATTTAAATAATTGAAAAATTAGATTACTCAAGAAAAATATATAGTAAGAATAAAATAACGTACACGAAGATGAAGTCTCATTTACTTTTATTATACTTAAGTGATCATACGTGTGACATATAATTGCCAGTGCAGAAAGTTTCCAGGTCTCTGAATGTTTGGGGTTTGATGTAATGATTTAAGTACAGATGCCAAGTGCACGTGCTACTAAGTTATTAAACATCATGTGATTTCGAAGATTCACATTTTCCGCTTTTTTTCTTTTTATTATTCCAATTTTGCACACTTGAGATAATTCTGATAGGTGTTTAATGTTATCATATTACAATACCGCTAACGTTCCAGATGCCACTAAACGGAAAGTAATTCCATGTGTGTCTTTTTTTTTTTTTTTTTTTTTACTCGCTGGAAAGTGGTTTTTCAGACAAACAAGCTGTTAGAGCACGAGAAATTTGCCGCCTGTACAAATAATATTTTTCACAACAGTTTGTTCGATCGATCAGCAGGCTGACCCACCAACGATTTGTAGGTACTCTCCATCTTATTGCTCATGGCATTTAATTGTGATTATTATATTCTGATTCCATTCCTATACTTTTATTCTATTTCTCTTATTGTACGGAAAGAAAAGAGAACAAAATTATAAGAAGCCCCTAGACCTTTCGTTTTCTATTAGTTTTATCAGTTTTCCAACTTAAGTTACATTTCTTTTTCC